TAATTCACTTTGATTCCTCTTAATTTGCTTTATAGTCCTTAATTTCCGTTGATTATGCTTCTCTTTAATTCACTGATTCCTCTAAATTTGCTTTATAGTCCTTAAATCCCATTGATTACTATCACTTCTCTTTAATTCCCCTTAATTGACTTTGATTCCTCTAAATGTGCTTTATAGTCCTCAATTCACATTGATTACTATTACTTCTCTTTAATTCCCCTTAATTCACTTTGATTCCTCTTAATTTGCTTTATAGTCCTTAATTTCCATTGATTATGCTTCTCTTTAATTCACCGATTCCTCTAAATTTGCTTTATAGTCCTTAAATCCCATTGATTACTACCACTTCTCTTTAATTCCCCTTAATTCACTTTGATTCCTCTAAATGTGCTTTATAGTCCTCAATTCACATTGATTACTATTACTTCTCTTTAATTCCCCTTAATTCACTTTGATTCCTCTTAATTTGCTTTATAGTCCTTAATTTCCATTGATTATGCTTCTCTTTAATTCACTGATTCCTCTAAATTTGCTTTATAGTCCTTAAATCCCATTGATTACTATCACTTCTCTTTAATTCCCCTTAATTCACTTTGATTCCTCTAAATGTGCTTTATAGTCCTCAATTCACATTGATTACTATTACTTCTCTTTAATTCCCCTTAATTCACTTTGATTCCTCTTAATTTGCTTTATAGTCCTTAATTTCCATTGATTATGCTTCTCTTTAATTCACCGATTCCTCTAAATTTGCTTTATAGTCCTTAAATCCCATTGATTACTATCACTTCTCTTTAATTCCCCTTAATTCACTTTGATTCCTCTAAATGTGCTTTATAGTCCTCAATTCACATTGATTACTATTACTTCTCTTTAATTCCCCTTAATTCACTTTGATTCCTCTAAATGTGCTTTATAGTCCTCAATTCACATTGATTACTATCACTTCTCTTTAATTCCCCTTAATTCACTTTGATTCCTCTAAATGTGCTTTATAGTCCTCAATTCATTGATTACTATTACTTCTCTTTAATTCACTTTGATTCCTCTTAATTTGCTTTATAGACCTTAATTTCCATTGATTATGCTTCTCTTTAATTCCTCTTAATTCACCGATTCCTCAAAATTTGCTTTATAGTCCTTAATTCCCATTGATTACAATTACTTCTTTAATTCCCCTTAATTCACTTTGATTCCTCTTAATTTGCTTTATAGTCCTTAATTTCCATTGATTATGCTTCTCTTTAATTCACTGATTCCTCTAAATTTGCTTTATAGTCCTTAAATCCCATTGATTACTATCACTTCTCTTTAATTCCCCTTAATTCACTTTGATTCCTCTAAATGTGCTTTATAGTCCTCAATTCACATTGATTACTATTACTTCTCTTTAATTCCCCTTAATTCACTTTGATTCCTCTTAATTTGCTTTACAGTCCTTAATTTCCATTGATTATGCTTCTCTTTAATTCACTGATTCCTCTAAATTTGCTTTATAGTCCTTAAATCCCATTGATTACTATCACTTCTCTTTAATTCCCCTTAATTCACTTTGATTCCTCTAAATGTGCTTTATAGTCCTCAATTCACATTGATTACTATTACTTCTCTTTAATTCCCCTTAATTCACTTTGATTCCTCTTAATTTGCTTTATAGTCCTTAATTTCCATTGATTATGCTTCTCTTTAATTCACTGATTCCTCTAAATTTGCTTTATAGTCCTTAAATCCCATTGATTACTATCACTTCTCTTTAATTCCCCTTAATTCACTTTGATTCCTCTAAATGTGCTTTATAGTCCTCAATTCACATTGATTACTATTACTTCTCTTTAATTCCCCTTAATTCACTTTGATTCCTCTTAATTTGCTTTATAGTCCTTAATTTCCATTGATTATGCTTCTCTTTATTTCACCGATTCCTCTAAATTTGCTTTATAGTCCTTAAATCCCATTGATTACTATCACTTCTCTTTAATTCCCCTTAATTCACTTTGATTCCTCTAAATGTGCTTTATAGTCCTCAATTCACATTGATTACTATTACTTCTCTTTAATTCCCCTTAATTCACTTTGATTCCTCTTAATTTGCTTTATAGTCCTTAATTTCCATTGATTATGCTTCTCTTTAATTCACTGATTCCTCTAAATTTGCTTTATAGTCCTTAAATCCCATTGATTACTATCACTTCTCTTTAATTCCCCTTAATTCACTTTGATTCCTCTAAATGTGCTTTATAGTCCTCAATTCACATTGATTACTATTACTTCTCTTTAATTCCCCTTAATTCACTTTGATTCCTCTTAATTTGCTTTATAGTCCTTAATTTCCATTGATTATGCTTCTCTTCCTCTTAATTCACTGATTCCTCTTAATTTGCTTTATAGTCCTTAATTCCAATTGATTATTCTTCTCTTTAATTCCACTTAATTCACTTTGATTCCTCTTAACTTGCTTTATAGTCTTTAATTACCATTGAATACTCTTTCTTTTTAATTCTCATTAATTCACTTTGATACATCTTAATTTGCTTTAGTCCTAAATTCGTATTAATTACTCTTCTCCTTAATTCCTCTTAATTCACATTGATACCCCTTAATTTGCTTTAGTCCTTAATTCCCATTGAATACTCTTTTTAATTCTCATTAATTCACGTTGATTCCTCTTAATTTGCTTTATAGTCCTAAATTCCTATTGATTACTCTTCTCCTTAATTCCTCTTAATTCACATTGATTCCCCTTATATTTGCTTTAGAGTCCTTAATTCCCATTGATTACTCTTCGCTTTAAATCCTGTTTATTCACTTTGATTCCTCTAAATTTGCTTTACACTCCTCAATTCCCATTGATTACTATTACTTCTCTTTAATTCACTTTGATTCCTCTTAATTTGATTTATAGTCTTTAATTTCCATTGATTACTATTACTTCTCTTTCCCCTTAATTCACTTTGATTTCTCTTAATTTACTTTATAGTCCTTAATTTCCATTGATTATGCTTTTCTTTGATTCCTCTTAACTCACTGATTCCTCTTAATTTGCTTTATAGTCCTTAATTCCAATGGATTATTTTTCTCTTTAATTCCACTTAATTCACTTTGATTCCTCTTAATTTGCTTTATAGTCTTTAATTCGCATTGAATACTCTTACTTCTTTTTAATTCTCATTATTACACTTTGATTCCTCTTAATTTGCTTTATAGTCCTAAATTCCTATTGATTACTCTTACTTCTTTTTAATTCCTCTTAATTCACTTTGATTCCCCTTAATTTGCTTTATAGTCCTTAATTCCCATCGACTACTCTTACTTCTCTTTAAATCCTCTTAATTCACTTTGATTCCTCTAAATTTGCTTGTCCTTAATTCCCACTGATTACTCTTGCTTCTCTTTAATTCCCCTTAATTCACTTTGATTCCTCTTAATTTGCTTTATAGACCTTAATTTCCATTGATTATGCTTCTCGTTAATTCCTCTTAATTCACCGATTCCTCAAAATTTGCTTTATAGTCCTTAATTCCCATTACTATTACTTCTCTTTAATTCCCCTTAATTCACTTTGATTCCTCTTAATTTGCTTTATAGTCCTTAATTTCCATTGATTATGCTTCTCTTTAATTCCTCTTAATTCACAGATTCCTCTAAATTTGCTTTATAGTCCTTAACTCCCATTGATTACTATCACTTCTCTTTAATTCCCCTCAATTCACTTTGATTCCTCTTAATTTGCTTTATAGTCCTTAATTTCCATTATGCTTCTCTTCCTCTTAATTCACTGATTCCTCTAAATTTGGTTTATAGTCCTTAATTCCAATTAATTATTCTTCTCTTTAATTCCACTTTGTTTCCTCTTGACTTGCTTTATAGTCTAATTCCCATTGAATACTCTTTCTTTTTAATTCTCATTAATTCACTTTGATACCTCTTAATTTGCTTTAGTCCTAAATTCCTATTAATTACTCTTCTCCTTAATTCTTCTTAATTCACATTCATTCCCCTTAATTTGCTTTAGAGTCCTTAATTCCCATTGATTACTCTTACTTCTCTTTAATTCCTCTTAATTCACTGATTCCTCTGAATTTGCATTATAGTCCTTAATTCCCATTGATTACTATTACTTCTCTTTAATTCCCCTTAATTCACTTTGATTCTTCTAAATTTGCTTTATAGTCCTTAATTCCCATTCATTACTATTACTTCTCTTTAATTCACTTTGATTCCTCTTAATTTGCTTTATAGTCCTTAATTTCCATTGATTTTGCTTCTTTAATTCCTCTTAATTCACTTTGATTCCTCTTAATTTGCTTTAGTCTTTAATTCCCATTGAATACCCTTCTTTTTAATTCACTTTGATTCCCCTTAATTTGCTTTATAGTCCTTAAATCCCATTGATTACTCTTACTTCTCTTTAAATTGTCTTAATTCACTTTGATTCCTCTAAATATTTGCTTTGTAGTCCTTAATTCCCATTGATTACTATTACTTCTCTTTAATTCCCCTTAATTCACTTTGATTCCTCTTAATTTGCTTTATAGTCCTAAATTCCTATTGATTACTCTTACTTCTCTTTAATTCCTCTTAAATCACTTTGATTCCTCTTAATTTGCTTTACAGTCCTTAATTCCCATTGATTACTATTGCTTCTCTTTAATTCCTCTTAATTCACTTCGATTCCTCTTAATTTGCTTTATAGTACTTAATTCCCATTGATTACTCTTACTCCTTTAATTCCTCTTAATTCACTGATTCCTCTTAATTCGCTTTATAGTCTTCAACTCCAATTGATTACTCTTCTTTTTAATTCCTCTTAATTCACTTTGATTTCTCCTAACTCGCTTTGTCATCCTTCTTAATTTCACTGCCTCTAATTCACCTGAGCGGTCATGGAAACGTTTTCGTACCTTTCGTGGCAGCAACGTGTTTTCGCTCAAGGACTTTGAAGGTCGACTGAATGATGAGACATAGAAGGCTTCTCCCTTAATAACAAAAGATAAAACAGCTTGGACAAACAACACGCGGTATATTTGAGCTTTGCTGTACAAAACATGGGAGACAACAATTTGTAAGCAGACGCAGTCGGGTGAACCTCGTCCAACCGTGCAATCTTCATGACTAAAGTGACGTTTCCGCGAGGCTGCTGCTAGGCAGTCCAAAACGCTCGTTTGCCCGACGGCGCCGAGAGGTCGATGACTTTTTTTGTTGCCGAGATGGCGATCACCCTAATATGTTTCTTCGTAAATTGCTGTAAACAAAGTGAGAAACATTGGGCAACGGTTAGTCTCAAAACTGTGTCGGCAACATTGATGTGGCAATATTACGAGGAAAACTAGCGAAATGGCACACATAGCTTCTGAAAGAATGAACGACCGGCATTTATTTTTCTAGCTCGAGCCTATTGTGGTCAATAATTTGTCCATGCAGGACTAGAGAAAAGTGCTACGAGGAGAGGTTGACCAGTAAAGTTGAGGAGTATTTCTATGTAGGCAGGCATATAGCAACATACACACATGAGACATATTATATTTTCCGGACTACACGAGGATGTTTTTCTAGGTCATTCATTATGACGAGACGTGGCGGATTTTGTGAAGGCGAGGGATCATTAATAACGATTTACGTACGATACCAGCTTCTTTGTGAACTAATAAGGGAGGCATTGCTTAAGGTGTGCCGTCTACGAGAACTTCTGCCGTGCGAACTAGGCATCAGGTGCGGACTATCTAAGGAAAAACTTTCATTTTTCAACTGAAATTCGCCCCTGCAGACTACCATCCGGAAAATATTGCGAGCGTTAAGGAACTGGTTAGTGCTATTTTTTTTTATTTACAGAATACCTACAGTGCCTCGAGGGCTTTATCATAGGAGGGGCAGGAAATAACACACACACACACAAAAAGACACAAAATGGTCACTTGTCCGCACAATTAGTTATACAACCGAGTAAAAGGTAAAATATTGTCCGAGATGCTCACCAGTTCCCCTGGCAGCAAATTTCACCCTCTTATTGTTTTTACAAAAAAGGAATTATGGAAACTGTTTGTTTCATAGGGACATGCAAAAACCTTTCTAGAGTTATCACACCTTGCTGAAACATTTGTTTCAGCAAGGTGTGCCGCAGAACAAGATGTAAAAATTGATCAGTTAGTTCAAAATAAAGAATATTCAGAGCCAAAATTTTTTTTCTGACAACTGCAATTTCCTTTTTATAGAAAAAAGCATTATTTAAAAGAAAATCGTGCAGCATTTTATAGGAATTTGCACGTGATGTACCAACAAACTTGTTGATTAACTAACAATTCTTCTTAGTAATATTGAAAAAAAAAAGAGACAAGGATTTGTTTTATACATAAGTATGCCCAGTCAGATATATTATACTACTGCAAAATACACTCCATCCACCTGGTCAGGCATGTGCCCCCCTCTATTTTTTTTTTTTTTTGCAAATTTTGATGAGAAAAAACTTACTGAAGTTTATAAACACAAACATTATATTTTCAGATATTTTCTTTTCAGAATTTCTTATCACATTTCATTAAGGGAGGAAACTGTAGCACAAACAAAAGCATTGATTGTACCTTCTTCTTCATCATCAATCAGTGGAGAATCACTAGGCTCCTTACTGCAAAAGAAAAAAGAAGCTAGTTTCAACTACCAGTTATTCACCCATCAGCTAGGCTCTCCAAACAACCACCGAAAACAAACTTACTCATAATTGGGGGACAACGCCTTCCGCGATGTCATGACCTGCGCAAAATCATAAACGGTACACGTTTAAGAAAAAAGTCTACGAATACAAAAGCAAGGTGCACGGGGTGCCAAGAAGCACTCGCAAGCAACGGCACCTCAGCTCGAGCACAAACCACGCTTCTATGCGCGCAGCCGTCGTAAAGATCCGAACGACCCAAGCATGCAACGAACGCGGCGTTCGAGTGCAAGGTCAAATGCACGACCAAAGGCGTGCACCGCGGTAGAAAACGGCGAATCGCTGGAAAGCTGCAAAGAACAAAAATGTACGATGCAGATCACGTCTACGGTTGAGTCCCATGCACATAATAAGCTTTCGTACAAGCGCGTGCGTTTGTCGGTCTCGTCAATGGCGGCTCGGCTTAAGCACCCCCAATCGCCAGAATAGGGGTTCTCAAAGGGTTCTCGTTTCGAAAAATGCCCGTCTGTCCACCGATAGCCAAAGAACCCGTCCTGGTCTTGGCACTGACGCGGTAAAGCGAGGGATTAGCTTAAGGGCCTTGCGATCTATAATGCACATACCATTGGCTCGTAGTTCAATGGGTAACTTGCATCAAATGCTGGAAAAACACCCCATTGAGGGCCGGGAATGGTCGAGGAAATTCGGCTACTTTTCATTTCATTTCATTTATTGTTCCCTTAAAGCACCCGTAGGGCTTTACATAAGGGGGGGCTTTGACAACAAACAAAAACAAAGAAAGGAAAAACACAGGGTTAAAGGTTGCTAAATATCGAGAAAAGTAGCAAGTGCAGCTTTGAATCCAGATGAGTTTTGAATTGTAACAATATGTTCTGGCAGAGAGTTCCATTCTGAAAGTAATAACTGCAGTGGAGAGAATTTAAAAAGGTTCGTCCTTGGTGGATACTGTGGGAAACCGCTCCTAAGAACTCCGTTTGAGAACCCATCACGCTAGGTTATCTTCCAGACAGAAACTCTGTGGGGCTCTTTGTCCCACCAGAGTAAAACCTAGATAGTGATCCACCATGCATAATGAGCCCCATTCTCCCTGGATGCATTGTAGCTCCACAGCCCCTAATACGCAGGGTTTGCTGCCGGTTGAACGGAGGCCTCCCAGCCTTGTATTGGCAATGGCACCAGGGGCCACAAATGGAAGTGTGGCACACCTGTCGCATTGTGCCGGCCTATCTTTCCGCCAACTGTCGGCGCGGGTATAGGAATGAACCGAGCCATAGTTCCGTGACCACGCGGTAAACTTCCGTGCTCGATGCAAGCCCGTGCAAATTCCGACAAAGCAAGATGTCGTTGAGTGTTGTACGCGATACTTAAAATCGTGTTTAAAAATTTGGCTCATGCGACTCTACGACGTGAAAATTTAAAACGTATATGTGCGCCATCAAACTGCTGTTTCCGGCGCAAAACGTTGGGGAAATGGCACGCACTTCCCCGCAATTTGTTTCCCCATTCGAAACAGCGATGTGGCTAAATGTTCTAAAGACTGCATAAGGCCTACGAGCACCGACAATTTGACAAAAATCAAAGCCACCGAGACAGCAGCGTGGTTTCAATAGCAGTGCCGAGAATGATGCCAGGCTGGCAAAACGTGCCTGTTCACGGCACATGAAAAAACGGGTGACAAAAACACAATAAAAACACTGCAACAACACCAGCCAAGCTCCAAGCTCAAAAGCAAAGCAGTTGGCGTGCCACAGAGCATGCCCCGCTGGCGCATCCGAGCAAAAGCGAGTTTTTTGCAAAGCCAGGAAAGGGCCATCTACAGTGCGCAGTCCCCTTCCTCTAAATGGACCACTCCAGTTGAGCCTTCGATTTGCCATGAAAAATATTAAAATTCAAACGATAGTAGAAAACCAAATGCCTTAGTAACGATCCTTTAGCTTGTCCAAAGTGCAATGCCCTCCAAGTCTGTTCTACAGACCACCTCCCAAAACCATCTTTCTTACTCCATCAAAATAAAGTTGTAGGGTGTATTTTAGTGGTGCATTTACCTCAAGAAATTTCAAAGTGTCAAGATTTCTGATATCCTATATATATATCAAGCAGCGAATCTTCTCCTCACTGCCATCTAAATGCATGTGAACCGAATTTGCAGTAGAACCTTTCGTAGACAATGAAAAACATTCGCTTCATTCCATATATAGGTAGGCACATATTCCAAACATTGAGACTGTCTAGGAATGGATGTACTAAACCTACGCGGACAACGAGGCTTCTCGAACTGGAGTGGACCTCTGAGCAGCAATCTACGCAAACTACGGCCAGACATGTGCGTCGGCTACGGCTTCAGCTAGTGCAGTCAGACGCAATCCGGTGACTTGCCCCACGCAGGTCGTCAGCTTGGCCAACCAATGGTAGGGCCGCTGGGGCCAGTCTTCCCAGTCGTCACCTCCCTATGGCCGACACCGGTCGTCAACTTTCGTGGCTTCAAAACGATCGCACTGTGCGAACGGGCAACAAACACTGCTCCCCAACGTGACATAAGAAGCTTTTTTGACGATTCGGTGATGCTCGGGTGTAGGGTGGCACAAGCGGATTTTCCGCCGTAAAATGAGCCGTAAAGATCGGCACCTGCACAGAGAAAGTTCAAACTTTCACGGAATGTGCACCGAGCAGGTCAGTTTTACCACATGAAATTTCAAGGCGTTGTTCTCTCCCTCTAAAAAATGAGAGCAACAAACTTGTCCAAGAGAGAGTTAGCGATGCTATTAATTTGAGGTACCATCTGCCGATAGGTGCAGCGAGCGGATGTCGCATTCTGCTGTCCGCTCGCTGCACCTATCGGTAGATGGCGCCACAAGTTAATAATGTAACTAACTCAGTTGTCTGCAAATGCGCCCCACATTGACTTGGGCAAGTTTGACAGCACTGACAGCACACATTCAGTAAAAGTTAGAACTTTCCATGTGCAGGCACCGTTTTACGGTGGAATATTTGCTTGTGCCAGCCTATACATAAGTGAGGCTGTAAACAAGCCGTTTATGACAAGTTTGCGAGCAGTGTCTGGTGAACGTTTGTCTGGTGCAAACTGGGCCACTGTGGATCACGTGAAATTTGTGTCCTTCAGAAGGCCACAGAAAGTTATGCATCAATTTAAAACAAAAAAACAAAACTAGCTTTTAGTTTGGGGAAATTTTTGAAGCCCACAGATTCATAAAAAGAAGCAAGCAACTGATCATCTCTACTTAAATGACAAAGTGCTGAAAAAAAGCTACACCCTTTCAACTCGCTCACAAAGAGTAGCACCGAGAAATTCGAGACACACTGCAAAAATTAGAGATTATTTGGTCCATCTGTCTCATCTCAAACGGTCTGTTCTTATCCACAAACTGGCCACTGGTGCCTCCCAACACGCAGTTACTTCACCTACAATACCCCACAGGACCTCCGTCAGAGGGGCTCCTAAGGTGCCATTTATGCCAAATGACCAAGTGCCACACGACAACTGAAAAGGCATTGATTTAGATCAAATGATGGCATTTGAGTTGCTACGTGGCACTCACGTAATGGTATTGAAACAGAATGTCATTTGGCGTAAATGGCATTTTAGCTGCCCGTCCGAGAGGGGTACGAGAGATCTGAAGCTGCTGGCAAAACATTCTCAGTTTCCCTCAGAAACATGATCTTGCCAATAGTCTCAATTATTTCACTCTTATAGGCTAACTGCACAAGACTAAAAACTGAGGGGTGCACCCTGTTGAAAATGTATCCACATTCAACCTCAAAACTCTCATTCTTCATTTCGGGGAGTGACTCTAAGCATCCATGGCCGAGACCGAAGTCTGATTCTCCGGGGGATGCTTCGGATGAGGGTGGGCGGTGTGCACTGGCAACAGAGCGACCCATGCAAAAGAGAGGAGTGCCAAGCAAGAACAAGCGCTTACGAATTTGATGGATTCGGCATCTACCTCAATGTTGGTCAGCTCCACGTAGCCAACTGAAATCAAAGTTGGGAGAGAAAGGGCATCACGTACCGTCGTGAAACATGCCTCAAGTGGCAAACGAAATCTAGGGGTTACGATACATGCAAACATTAGAGGTCACGACAACAGCCGAGCAAAAAGGTAGAAGCATATGCTAGGAACCTTGCATAGGAGCATGGTGTTCCACCAGAGCAGTAAATATAGAAACATAAAGTCAAGATTGTTCCCACAAAGGATCTAATGACCAAAACGTTCCAGAAAAATGGCACAAATTTTTGGGGAATGGCCCATGTTCCGTGATATTCGTCCCTGAATTTTGCACTTTTATTCGGAACATGGGCTGGTTACGCAAATTCTACAAAATAAAACAGTCTTGGCATACGACCGCCTCAAAGTTTGTTATGAAACATATATCCTAATTACAGTAAATAAAAGTTAATTAACGAATTTTAGTTAATGTGTTCGATAATAGTGATGGTTATGTTCCCATCTAATGTCCACCAAGCCACATAAACACGCAATGAAAACCACACTTGTAAGACTTTTCCCCCTTTATTTAAAAGTTTGGCGCAGCTAAAAAGAAATGCACTGTATGCTAAATGTTTGCTCAAAAATGGAAAGGAAAAGAAGCTCAGTCTTTTAACTGGACAGGCCGAAGCACGAATCTTAACGTAGGGTTAGCAATGGCATCATCGAGGGCGCAGAATTTAAAAACGTTAACTGACGCCGATGTTAACTGTCGGCGTCGGTTAACCCAAATGCACATTTTTTTCTTTCGGCGTCAGTTGTCATTAAACCAACACGCTCCTCAGTTCCCTTTAAACACGTTGTTTCTAATTATGTTTTGCGTTCCAAATAACCGTGTTTTTCTTTTTACGCACTGATCAGTTTAATTTTCGTTTTTATGCATGCCATTCGGACATTCTAGACCTAAGAGAGGAAATAAGTAAGTAACAGAGAGCGGGCTTTAAAACAGTGTCTGGCCGCTCCAAAATGGACTCGAGGTCCTTTAAAGGGACACGGCCGTAGATCGAGAAGGGCTGGGAAGAGGGTGCACTGACCGTCCCCCCTGTCGTTCTTGACCAGCCACTTGCCCGGGGGGTTCCGGTCCATGCGGAGGATGAGCACGGCCTCCCCTCCCCGCAGGGCCAGGTCCAGGCGGCCCCCCCGGCTGCTGCGGCGGGCACGCCCCGTGTCCAGGGGCTCCTCGCCACCCTCCAGCTGCACAAGGGGCAGTCCCTCGCACCCAACTTGCTCGTCCGCCCCTTAGGGGACGCCCCCTCCGCTGCCCCCGAGTTGCTAGTTTGAGCAATACCCTATTTTCCAAATCCACATGCCACGCACGTTTCAATGTTTACATTTTTATGTGGTTCAGACACCTACGGGTACGGACAGTGCCGCCACACCAATAGAGCGAGCTGGAGGGTTCCTTAGCTGCGCTCAGAGACAGTTTAGATAGAAAAGTTTCAAGATCCCAAACCACCACCTTTGAACGGAGCTTTTTGAGGCACTATTTTGGCCTATCTAAGCCACCCATTGATGCGTAACTATGAGCCAATGCTGTCGGTACGTACGGCATTGTTTGCCAGGTGTGTAGGGTAGGCTTTTGCGCTCATTTATTGTTTCTATGCCAATACCGGGTGGGGAGCTCCCTGGCTGTCAGTTGAGAAAAAATGGGGTTCCTCGAGATAGGAAAGCTTGGGACAAACTCCCAAAAGACTCCTTCCGTGAAGTGCCTACACATGAGTCACAAATAAAGAAAGAAGATACAGCGCAATATTTGCGTCGTGCTACACTCATTTTGAGTGAGGAGCGAATCCGAAACGTGCTTCCATTCTGGCACGTCGACCTAAAATAGAAGCACGTCACAATCCTCAAAACGGCTCTCACAACCTAAATATTGCGCTAAAAATCTTCTCTTTGCCCGAAAAAGATTTTTTTTGGGACACACATTCTCACCGGGGACTTTTTAGAAAAAGCAAGTGGAGTGCAGTGCCCCTCTAAAGCCGTCAAAAGAAAAATATAAATCGCCTCAACCCTACGTACGAGGTTAGAATTACACAGAATACACCCAAGACGACACCGTCTAAGGTTACGCCGCACAGTCACGTGACCTGAAGTGGCACCGACCGCGTGACCGTCGCATACTGTGGAAAGTTCTCGGTCTGACGCGGTCACGCAACGCCAACCACGATGTCGCAGTGTCACGTACTTGTACCGTCCGAAACTACGACGCGACACCGTGACCTCACGTGACCCAATGTCACGTACATGGTCACGTGGAAGGCCACGTTACATGTGTTCGTAAGAGTATTTCTAATGCGATAGACTCTGTAACTGGCCCATAAAAGCATTCCGCTTTAAAACAGAAATAAAGCAACGAGACGGGTGAGCCGAGATCTTGCATTGTTGGCCATATCATAGCATAACTCAAACAGATATTGTATTTTCGAGACTACCGTAAAATCCTAAAACATCCCCCCCCCCCCCCCCCCTTTTTTAGCACGATTTGCTATTTCTTCAAAAAACACCGAAAGATAGCCCACTTATTGTAATTGCGGGGCCCTGGCCAATGGTGACCTCGGCAGAAATGGTGTTACTTAACCACGGCAAGAGATCAGCAAACACTGCTGAATGGAAAGGACAGTCGTCTTTGGTTCTTTGCCTCTCCCTGGGATTACAAGTTTCGCAGGTCACAAAATCAAAAATTAGCATATTTTTAAACATTCTTTTTGTTGCACATTGAAAGTTAATTTACTCCTTATCTTTGCCCGATTTGCTTTCGATTTTAGGTGGGCTATTGAAATCTGTAATACGGTATACACATTTCAAAGTAGGAATTTTATGCGGTGCAGACTATCTACATGTGCAGAGTATACAAAAATGTGTTTCTTCGAGATCATTCGTTATTAAAATTGCGACAAATTTTCTGTAGCAATTGTACTCTTCGTAGCTTTAGAGACTTCCCATACCCAGTTTCTAGTGGTCATTCTTGATCACTACACTTTATAAATGACACGTCAATAATGATTTTTGTTGGGTACAAGCCCTTTTGAGCTTGTACCCAACATATGCTGTTGCATATGTTAATTTTTCACGTGCATACTATCCGAGGAAAAACCTTTTTTTCTTCGACCGACATTTGTCCTTGTGGACTATATTCCAGAAAATATGGTAATAGCGATCCAAGGCTAAACATTGAAATAACTTTCTGTGGCAATCGAAAAAAGAGAAAAGACCGCACATGCGTTGACTTTGTTTTCCCAAGAGCATTGGCTCGCGTGGCATTATTATGATGATGTATCCCCGTGACTTCGGTTTCATCGTTACCATGGCATTCGGCCCTACGAGTCAGGCTGATGGCTAAAGGGCCATGGTAGCGTACAATCTTCATTATTTCCACTCGCGAACCCTAACCGAACGTTTCAAACGAAGCATCGGTCCCCGGGAGAACCAAAATGCGCCGACTCACTCCAAACTTTTTCCGTAGCTTCTCGCTTTCCCGGTCCTTCTTGTCCTTGGACTTTCCCTCCTTTTTGGCAGAGCGATCGGCCTTGTCAGACGCCGTGGAGGAATGCCTGCAGAAATGGCGCAAGTCCATTCAGTTAGTGTTCCCACGTGTAGCTTCCGGTAACCACGAGAGATAGGCAACGAACTCCAAGTAGCTCAAAACTGTGTCAATTAAAAACACCGGACCAAAGCACTTTCAGAAGTTTGTCGATTCAACGCGGCACAAACTCTGGAGCTCCGACGATTGTTTTAGCTACCCAGTGCAAGGGTATCGTTCGAATGCCGATGGCTTCATGATTCCTAAATGCTGTCTCATTTCCCCATTATATAGTTAGCTGGAAAAGTCATGTTCAGTTCGATACCCATACTAAAACTTTGTTTTCCCTATTTTGTCTCCACCATCCAAAAGTGATGTCGCCAATGGAAACATGGCGCACGGCTGGCAATGAGGTACTCTCGCATCTACCGTACTCGCGTCTCGCAAGGAAACAAGGGCATTTGTGCCATCTTAAAGGTTGACCTACAGAATCCTCCTCTGCCGGGAAGAAAACCGGTTGCTGGTTTCCTCCTCGCACTCCGTTCTCCTCCTCTCCACAAGGAGCAGAGGAGGAGGGTTTCCCTCTTTCTCGGGTGGAAAGGAGGAATTAAGAGTTTCCTCATTTCTGGCTGTTCATCGACCTTTAAAGGGGCCCTGCAATCATATTTAAGCATCTACCTTTTATGCAGTTTCCACGTCTCTTGGGGTTCGGGCAAGCCAGCGGGCACGGAAAGAGTAGCTAAATATCAGTGCGCCATATTTTAACCGGACGACACGGAAACCTCCTCCACCGACGAGGGCGACCCGCGGTACCGAAAGCGCACGAAATGTGACGTCTTTGGTCCTGGGCTTACTACTGGTCAGAGCCACTAAAAACTTCTTTTTGGTCGAAATACAAAATATAAGTGGCGCGAACCGTTTCAATTATTTATAAAAGTAGTTTTTGTTCACTATTATAGATGAAAAAAAGAAAGAAATGCAGTTTATAAGGTACGGAAACAAGAAATGACCCGTCAACATACCCGCCGCCAAGCGGTGGAAAAGGCGGCGCATACTAGAAAGGAGTAGTGGGATAAGGCGCCGACACGGAAAAATCCCAGATGCACGCGGTGGCACTGCAGTCGTCTGGACAAGAGGATCCGACCGGCTCCGAGCGTTCCGAAGGCCGTCGGCGAGAGGCTTTGTCTTGCGGTTTGGCCGTTTCGCGATATGGCAGCGCGAAGTGGCTCCCATTCTTAACTGATCTTTATCCCGTGTTTGCTGTCGTTTGTGGCCAATGAAGTGTCATGCCGAATTAGTGTTTAATCGCGCAGCAAACGCAATGAAAGCCGCTTTGGCTGCCCGCTGCGTACAGACTATCCAGATCATGCTTTAGTGGTGCCCTCTGGCGCCGTCGACACGGAGTGCGGCGGCCGTGAGTGCTCGATGAGCTCACTATTCCTCCTCTAGTTCACGGCCACTCAAGCCAGGACCTACGACGTCATGAAGGAGGTTATTTTTTGCTTGTTTTTGTAATTCTAAATTGCCTATAACTTTTAAAATAAAGCGAATTTCGCGAAAAGAAAAGTTTCACTAAGTTACTACGTTCAGTGCGCTCAGGTTCGGTGCAAATTAAAAAACAGTAAAAAGTCCTTGCAGGGCCCCTTTAAGGTAATATTAATCTCTACGGTAGAACCTTAATTATACGACTTTTGCGGGACCGCCCACGAAATTGTTGTATAATCCGGAAGTCGTATCATCCAAAAAACATTACGGACAGCGATCGGCCTCATACGAAAAAGACAAGCGGTGGTTTTACTGATGTCCAAGCTAATAATTTGCTATACTTCGATGAAGCAAAAACTGTCAAAACAAATTGAAACAAAACTGTAGAAATGTGCAGTAAAGGCGCGAGTAACTGACTTTTTTTACGGTCACGAAACATCAGCTTTTATCGAAGGCCGCAAGTTCTGGAAGCAGATCAGTGACGCCATCGTGGGTGCAAACAAAACCGAGGTATATCTTTTTTTTTCTGCTTCTTCCATAATTTTTAGCTTTACTCATATCGTCAATGGTGTCCGTTTGCGAGACATCGTTCGAGTGCGTGCACAATTGCGACAATGGGATCCTTGTCGCTTTTCTTGCTTTCCAAAAGCGGGAACTGCGGGAACCAGTGAAAGTGTGCTCAATCCTGGGAGAAGCAACGAGTTGGAGAACGTGGTGCGCAGAGGAAAGGGAGGGTAAACGAGAGAACGATAGGATGAGCGGAGCAAGGATGGCAACACAAAATCTCCGGGGCATTTCACAACCCAGGGAGGAGAAAGGCCCCCTCTGAATTCGTCCCGCGTTTCCCTCCGGAACGTCGTATGATGCGGGACATGTAGAATCACTGAATTGAACCATGGTTAAAAGCGCTAAAAAAGACGTACACAAGAAAGAAGACAAACACGGGCGCCCGTGTTTGTCTTCTTTCTTGTGTACGTCTTTTTTAGCGCTTTTAACCATGGTTCAATTCAGTCAACACCAACTAGCCCAACAACAAGTTCTTTTACAATGTAGAATCACGCCTCGTGTAAACAAAATTTTTAATGCGTTATTTCTATGAGGAGTTTGTCGGGACCAGGCAAATCTGTCTTACAATGCGGGATGCCGTATAAACCGAGGACGCATAATCGAGGTTCCACTGTATTTGTACAAAGATGGCCTTGGCCTCTGTGCTGCAGCAATTGGGATTTTGAGAAAAACATTTTGCAACTAGGAACGCTTGAGCAGCGGTTCACTATTTTCGTAAAATCGTTGGCTTAAACCCATTCTCTTCTATCAGAAGCGAGCAATAATGGTGGCAAAAAGTAGAAGGGTCTCGCAATACACCTTTTGCCAAATTACCCAAGCACCGAGAAAAATGTTTGGCTTCTGGGTACGGGTGCCGCATACGCTCGCATCAACTAAATGCACGTGAAATTCCTCTTCTCCCACACCCTCTCTCTCTAAAAACCGATTGCTTTCTTCTCAATTGGATTGGGCTCGACGTGCGACACAACCCTTCCCATGAGCCCATGCAAATTCGTCTTAAGCTGGTTGTCTGCTTCGCAACGACGCCATGAGGGAGCGTCCGATGGCCGCTGCTCCGTTGTTTACGGCATGGACGTAGGTCTGTCTTCTTGTAATGTGACCTTGACGGCAATGCAATGTTGTTCTGTGGGTTGTGCAAATAGTATTGCAAAAGAAAACCTTCTCCTTGTTCCACAAAACACGCTGTTCTTTTTTTATTTTTGGTTGAAAAGAGCCATAGTTATGTGAAGGAAAACGGAGGTAAACGGAAATATATGCTTATCAGACTAGCTTTTAGCCCTGGACAGCGGCTGCCTGCCAGGGGTCGTTCTCGCATAATGTGACCGTTATCAGTTTGGTACCTTTTGTTTTAGAAACGATGCACACAGGGATTTACTGCAAATATCTGCAAAAAATGATCTAGTTTTGGGCTTCTGGATTTGGATAATTTTAAACAAAAGTAACTTAACTTTGAACTTTAAAACAGAACTGCTAGACCAGCAGTCTTGTCTACCCACAAAATGTACCTGCATTCAATGGAGGGGGGATGTAAATAGCAGATGAATTTGCAAGCCATATAGACTATTACAGACCTGCCAATGCATGTGCATTGTTTTCAGGTAGCGTCTCATGTTTTTTGAAGAATGCATCAGGTAAACAGAAGCCCTGGTTCAGCAAAACAATCGGTAGCGCTAAAGATCACAAAAACATCTATCGTCTACACGCGTCGTGGTGCCTTTTGTCTCCCGATCCCAAGTAATTCCTTCTCCGCAAATAAACTTTTTTTTCTTTTTTCTACACTCAGGAATTAGTGTTTTACATGACCTGCCGGCTCTCAGTACATGTTGCAATGAATGGGAAAATACAATTTAGTTCTGCAGTCCGTGTCCATGTCCCAAAATAATTGGTACAGCATTGCTGTTCTCTTAAAGGGGCACTGATACGTCAAAATCATATATTTTTATTATCCGACACGATTGAAAACGATACCTGGACATTACCCTCAAAATTCGAAACTTGGGAATTCAGTATTTGTGAAGTAAGAAAAACACTGTCTGCCGTTGCCACCCCGACCCGAAGCGAGGAGGTGAGGAGCGAGAGAGAAGGTTGCCGGCATACCAGGAAAAACCCGATTCCTCCATGCGTGCCGCGATGCCTGCCTATTGCTGCGAGCAGACGACGAATGATGTCTTGCTGCTTCTGCGTGAAAGGCTGCCCCGGCGATGTCACAACCAAAACTATGATACACAAACAAAAACCCAGTTATTGCGATTGTTTGAAAATTTCCTTTTCGAAGTCTGAGAGGTCACCGGGCACCTAAGAAAAATCACTTCGTCCGATTCCCTGACTCACCGATCAGCCATGTTTTCTGAGGGAGGATAAAAATCCAGGAGGCGACATCACAATGGACTCAGATTTTTGGTATTTCAAAAAGAAAGGCCGTAGTGCGTTCGCAATTGCATTAAAAAACATGTTTTAGGATTGCCATTATTAAATATTATAGAAATGTCGCCTACAAAGCTTCGAAATTTCACGATATTTGATGTCACAAATTAAAAAAAGCGAGGGGGTGAGGGGCGGGAGAGAAAAACAACAAAAATTAAAAGGCGCGCACGCGCGTAAGGCAATTTTTTTTGCAATGCAGGATTTTTTTTTGTCTATGACTACAACTTGCATCGTTTCAGTCAATAAAAAAAAAATACGACCTTTGAGGTGTCAGTGCCCCTTTAAGTCGTCTGCATTGGTCTTCATTTTGTCTTCAACCCGAGCGACTGCAATTCTGCTAGCAATGACATTAACTGCTCGAGACATCCTCCCGCACTCATGACCTCAAGTAAAGGCCCGTTCACACTCTTGCAACTGAGTACGACCGAGAAAGACGAGACCTGTTGAAACCTTTTAAAATTTCTTAGGACGAGGGAACACACTGGCATACTTGTGCCATCTACGCGGTGACCCTGGAACTGCATTTCACAAGAGCAAAGGTTTTGCGGGATTTCT